TGTCGGATAAGCAGAGAAACAGAACTAAAAAGACAAAAAAACAGGGGCCTGTAGCAGCATTTGATTCTTATGTTCTGGCTGCTGTTTGTGCTCTTGCATGTGAACTTCAGTTGTTCCCTTTGATTTCAAAGGGGACTAATCATGCTCGCTCGAAAGATGCAAAAAATGTGGCAAAGCCTGCCAAAGAAAATGTATGTACTAATGAGTTTCGGAGTAGTGTTGACTCAGCAGTTTGTCACACACGCAGAATACTAACCATTTTGGAGGCACTTTTCTTGCTGAAGCCATCTTCCATTGGCACTACGTGGAGTTACAGTTCAAATGAGATAATTGCAGCAGCCATGGTTGCAGCTCATGTTTCTGAATTATTTAGATGGTCAAAAGCTTGCATGCATGCACTCTCTGTCTTGATGCGATGTAAGTGGGACAGTGAAATTTGCTCCAGAGCCTCATCATTATACAACCTCATTGATTTCCACAGTAAGGCTGTTGCATCTATCGTTAACAAGGCTGAACCATTGGAAGCACACTTGAGGCAAGTTCCAATTTGGAGGGATTCCTTTGTTCGTTTTGAAGGCAGAAAACTAAGTCAAGATGGAAACAGTAGATGCTTAAATGTAGGGCAGCCATCTGCCTTGCAGTGTGAGGATTCAGCACATTCAGAAACTAAACACAAATCTGAGAGTGCATCACATTCATTTGAGGGGTCCGGAAATACCTTTGGTAAAGGTGTTGCAAGTTTCCCATTAGATGCTTCAGATTTGGCCAACTTTCTTACTATGGACAGGCATATAGGATTTAATTGCAGTGCACAGGTTCTTCTAAGATCAGTACTCACAGAAAAACAAGAGCTATGTTTCTCAGTTGTGTCACTGTTGTGGCACAAGTTAATTGCAGCTCCTGAAACCCAGCCTTCTGCAGAAAGCACTTCTGCTCAACAAGGATGGCGGCAGGTAATCTTATATTTGTTGTGTCTCTTTGCATGACCGTCATCATCATCATCATCTCCAATATTATTAGTAGGTTTTGTGTTTCTATATGCTGTTCTGAATCAGTAATTCATCAGATACATTTGTGCTATATTTCATTTGAGTTATTGTTTGCCAATTTTCCATTGAAAATGTATAATGTTTGACATGTAATTTTTAACCATATTATTTGCTATGTTAGGTCGTTGATGCATTATGCAATGTTGTGTCAGCAACACCAGCAAAAGCAGCCACTGCAGTGGTTCTTCAGGTCTAAATTTTGTCTCACTTTTTACATTGCCACATTATAACTTTTGCTTTGGCTACTGATTTTGTTCCTGTTTCATCGTAACAAGTAGAAAAACATGGTTTTGTTAATTCTTTTCATCACTTGATTTTGGAAGGCTTGTTTCCTGGCTGTTGTCCACATCAATGGCTTTCTGATTTATTGTTATTTAAATTACTTCATTTTTTTAGTCAGTTTCATGACTTTGTACTCTTGTCAGGCGGAGAGGGAATTGCAGCCTTGGATTGCCAAAGATGATGATCAAGGTCAGAAGATGTGGAGAATCAACCAGAGGATTGTAAAATTGATTGTGGAGTTGATGAGAATTCATGATAGCCCAGAGTCATTGGTAATTTTGTCAAGTGCCTCAGATCTACTTTTGCGTGCCACTGATGGGATGCTTGTTGATGGAGAAGCTTGCACCTTACCCCAACTAGAGGTATGATGTGACTGCATTAATGTTTGTGGCGTATGACTTTTGTTCACAAAGTCAAGACTTGAATATTAGCTTTAAATTTTATGTTTTTTTTCTTTTCCTTTTGGCCACTTAAGGAACACCATCCATATCCGAACTGAAGGTTGATTTGACCACCAGGCAGTTCACATTGAGATCTTCCATACTTTCATTTCAAATAACCTTCCTAGACATAAGATTGCTGAAGGCTCAAGACTATAATGAGGGAAAAAAGCTTGATAATCTGAACGTGGCGAAGCTAAATCCCAAGAAATTGGGGTTTGCAAGTGAATTGCTTCCGCTATTTAATCCCATCTAATCTCTTTTTCTTCTTTGATGACCATGTCTTTTGCTCAATTCTATCTGTTTCAATTTTGGGCAGTCCTCAACTCTTTAGGCTTCATGAACTAGAATGGAATCACTTTTTCATACCATGCAAATGTCGACTGCATCATCTTGCAACTCTTTCACAGTTTATTGTCAAATGACACATGACTGGATCATCTTGCAACTCTTTAACAGTTTAGCGTCACTTGGTGCTAATTTGCTTCCACATTTGTTTTTTTTCCAGTATCTTCACTCCTTATCCTGTCTTCCATAATATAGTTACTCATACATTTTAGATCCTCATTTGCACTATATTTGTCTAATGCTTTTTGCGTACTTTCTTTTTTGTCATACACTTTTTCTGTGTAGCATAGAGTGAGTACTTATCAGTTATCAATTTAACCTTCAATGTATTAAAGCATCAACCTCTATATAAATGGGCAGCTACTGGAAGCAACAGCTAGAGCAATTCAGCCTGTGCTCGAGTGGGGAGAATCTGGGCTGGCAGTCGCAGATGGCCTTTCGAACCTGTTAAAGGTAAAATAGCCAGCTGATTCATACAATCACTTGGTATGATCCTAGGAAATTTGAGAACAAATAGACACAGTGTTGCACCCAAAAAAAATGAAAAAAAAAAGAAAAAAAGAAAAGAAAAAAAAGAAAAGAAAAAAAAGAAAAGAAAAAAAAGAAAAGAAGGAAAGAACGAAAGAAGTGCTTATTTCATTATGATGTTTATGCAAAACCATTAGTTATTTGATCTATTTGCTCCAATCCATGCAGTGTCGTCTGCCAGCTACCATCCGATGCCTTTCTCATCCGAGTGCACATGTTCGTGCTCTGAGCACATCAGTTCTTCGTGATATTTTGCAAACCAGTTCAATTAGACCTAACCCTAATCCGGTGGAAATAAATGGTATTCATGGTCCTTCCTACAAGTATTTTAACTTAGATGTGATTGACTGGCAAGCTGATGTGGAAAAGTGCTTGACATGGGAAGCTCATAGCCGACTTGCGACTGGAATGCCTATAAAATTTCTTGATACTGCCGCCAAAGAATTGGGTTGTAGTATTTCCATATAAAATTGATTAGCTTCAGGTGTATAATTTTTTTTTCTTTTTCATGTGAGACTTGTCTTACACAATAGATACTTGCATCTTTATTGCCTTGAAAGATGAGTTTGCAGGTTAGTAGATATTCATTTGTTCTTCTGGGTCCAAGGTGTTAGTCATACTGTCAAGATTTTCTTTTCTGACCGCCCCTCATGGAAGGATATTTGTGTAAATGAGAATTGTGGTTTAATTGTCACCCTAGTCATCCTAATTTGGATCTTAAACCAGTCTTCTAATGCATTGATTTTGTTTCCTCTAATTCACTAATAAATTATGCACTTGAGACTTGAGTACGTATTCAAAAATCCAATGGCGTGGACAGCAAACCAGTTGAAATGTGTTATGTTCATTTTATCAGTCTCTTCTTTGTACACCATCTGTTTTCTTAAAATTTTCCCTGACATTTAAGACGTTAGATCTCATATTTCATAGTTTTTATTCCACCTTACCTAATACCCTCGGATGGAAGGCAGCCCTTCATTGAAAAATACCTTAATATATTTTCACAAATAAGCTCGAAGTACATCATTCATGAGACTTTGAAATGTAGATGGTGCATTAATGAGGGTAAAGGGCATCACCAAGAATTCAAAATGGCCATTACGAGTCCCCTTTTGCGTATATCATCAAGATGCATACGAATGCCTCAACATAAAGACCTAAGATCTAATTTCAAAGAAAAAATGATGCACCATGTAATTCATCTACCGACTTTCACGTTGCTAGCATTGAGAGCACTATTGTCGATGCATATTCGCATGTACTGTCCTTTTTCTTCACAAGGAAGGCTGGTGATGATAATGGACTGGAGGGAGAAGGGGAAGGGAGCCATGGTGCTGGTTCTAACTTCTAAGGAAAGAAAGGTTTAGTTGATTCTCACAGTAATTCTCTTTTTTAAACATAAGTGATGTAATGGACCTTATTGCTTGGAATAAGGCTTGAGGTGTAATGCGATTCTATCAATACCCACCCCCTCTTCAGTCTCCTGTTTTACTGTAAACTGAGTATAAGTTTTTTGTATGTTTTAAGATGAACTTTGTGTACACACTATTATACTTACTAGTTATTTTCAAACTTGGTTTGGATGTCTCCCTATGAGGGGAAGATAAACGTAATTGATGCTCACTCCTACGTCTAGATCTTACAGGTACTGTGTACACAAATTATGAAGACTTTGGATAACGATTTTGGAGTTGCTCGTCGAACCTGTCAATTCCAATGGCTCTTTTTATTGCACTGCTTTAGGCAAATGAAGATGACTTTTTTTACCCTTTCGACTTTTCTTATTATAATTGTGTTGTGAGACCTGAGTATTTGCTTGATCACAATGATAATGACTGCACTCGAGTGGCGAAAAGAAAGGTCTGTCATAGCAGAAAAATTTGTATGAAACGGGATAACACTGTTTTGCTCTAACCGACTAATCACACTATGCCAAGTGGAAAACTTATCACGAATGACATAGCGTGATTGATAAAAGATAGTAAAACAGTGCTATTCCCGTTGCACACATCTCCAAGTGCTCCACTCATAGAGGAGTCAAGAGTTTTGAGTTCTATAGATATTTTTTGTTTTGCTGTTACACGGTTTAGAGATATCTTTAGGTCAAATGCAAAATTGGTTACAGTTGCATGTTTTAAATAAAATAAAGCTGCGTTGGGTCTCCTGCTTATCCGCCCATGTACTCCAAATGAGGCATTGGAAGAAAAAGCATAATCTAGGAATCAACTTGTTGTGCAGCCAACACCAGGAAAATAACAAGGCCCAGGGACACTGTAGGCAGATAAATTTTGGCAAATGCAAAAGCTGAAAAAAAAATAAAAAAAAATCACTATTATGATGATGTAAACAAAAATGGAAGTTTTGTGAAATTTTGCCCTATCTTTGATGCATCCACCCCCCCAAAGGGACTGAATACCTGACAACAAATAGAAATTACAACGAGGATAAATAATTAGAAGAAATGTCGGTTTTTCTAGCCTCAAATGATTTAAGAATTTCCTGAAATCAGCCATTTTTACTTAATCTGAATGAATTTAAACTTTTCCATCATGTTCGGTAGATTCAGGAAAACCACTGTGTTTTTGCTGCCTGCTTGTAGGGAGAGCGTGGCTCCAGCGCTCCTTTCCACCGGGCTTAGATGAGGCATTTCCATACCAAATCATCCCAACAACAGCTATGATCATTCCCAAAACAACATGCAGATTCAGACCCTCCTTTCCAAAGAAAAAGAACCCCATGATCAAAACAAGAATTGTCTTCATATGTCCAAGTACTTGGAAGGAGACAGCAGTAAATCTTCCAATACAGATGAACTGGCTGAGATTGGTGCCTACTGCGATTGTGCATGAAAGAAATATAAACATCTGCAGACACAAAAGTGCAGCGAGAATTGTGAATGACCTTTCTGTTAAATCAAAAGATCATAAAACTAGAAGTGAAAGGAAGAAGTTAATCAGTTTGGAATTGGATAGATGTCACATTAAAATAATATCCTGTTCAATAATATGTTAAGATGAAAGTAGCAAAACTATAATACAAATGAGTTACTCCAATGGAGACAAACAAAATTAAGTTGCAGCAGCAGTTCATCTTGTATGATAAGGACTTAATTTTATTGGTGATCATACTGATGTATATGTCGCTAGCGTGACTAGGTAATCACATCATTAACAACATTACGATGTAAAAGTCTAAATGTATATTCGTAATGATGTTTGCAATCCTTAGGTCGAGTCTTGACACAATCAGCTTAAGATGATTATGGTAATCACAACACATAAATAAATAGGGTTATACTTACCAGAGATGTAAAGTTATAGTCATAGGCATCAACTCTCTTACTTGTCAACCAATAGTCAAGGAAGGGGCCTAGTAACAGAAGAGATCCAGCCTGAGCTGGAGCAGTATGTCCCAACAGACTGAAAGAACCAAGTGAATATTTCCGTTGAAGAAAGTGCACATACTGCAATTAAAGATTTGACATGACTTTTAGATAAGACATTATCAACAATTTCAGAAGAGTTTGACAAAACTGCAGACATGAGGCTATTCATTGATGGGTTCTACTTTTTTATTTTATTTGTATTTGACATGGATTGGTCCAGAGCAACAATTGCCAACCATGATAACATAAAATATTGACAATCACTCTGCCCTTTTCAGAAGTTTCATTCAATACCAAGCCATTTCAGCTGAAAAATGAAACATTTATATCACAACAGATCTCTATCTGTCTGTCTGTCTGTCTGTCTGTCTGTCTGTCTAGACATGAATGCATGATGTGTTGGGGAATGGAGAACTTACATACTGTTGTAGCGAAGTGCTCCATACAGCTATAAAGGCAGCAATGAAGCCCTTGGCATTGACACTCACATCAGTGACAGTGCAAACACCAACTCCCAAGAGAACAACTCCTATGCTCAACTTTGTGTCTCTTGAGTAACGAATCTTGTCAAGAACAACTTCCAGTAAACATGATACAGGGATCATACTCAGCTTTGCGATCTGCCAATTACATAAGAGAAAATGTAACCCCCAAAAAAATTGCAGTGTTCAGTAGCTAAATCCAAATACATCAAAACCCTAGCTATACCTGATAGAATCCCACTGAGTTCCACATTAGACTAACGTTCATTCCAACAATAGAGAAGTTAGCAAAGATCATAAATTTCAGAAGCTCAGAGACTGGTAGATGAGAAGGTTGAATGTATCCCAGCCACCTTAGAACAACCGTCATCAAAGTTGTTGTAGCAAAGTGCAAACCAGTTAATGTTGTAGCTGCAAATTATTGCAATTATTTAGAACTTAAAAAAACTAAATGATAAATAGCATGCGTTATGGCTATATAAATATTCTGGATGCATATTTTCCTACAAACAACTAAACACAAAAACAACCAATTGATAAGCAGCAAGGTCAAGGCTATAGAAGCTTTCCCTTCAACCATTACGATCTCAAGGTTAGCACTGAAAGTTAAATCTAGCTACAGATTGGAAGTTATATTTAGATGTCATATCTATTTTGTCTAGCAACCCCAAATCTATCACAACTCATAACAGAACTATACTATTACCTCTTACAAAAGAAAATCAAATAGTGCAGTCTTTATCTCTCTTGCACTTAAATGTTTGCTATGTTTTCCTAAAAAGCCATGATATCATCTCTCTCTTCTAATCTAAAAGCATCATAATTTGAACTCCAATAGGGATGCAAGAAAGGTCTTTAATCCCATGGGGTTATATTTTATCTGAACACATATCAGAAACACCCCAACTCAAATCTTAATCAACGAAAGCAAAACTGGAAGTAACAAGACTTTTTTGTATATTTTGTCACTTCCCCCTCAAATTAGGATATACCTTTCATCTTAGTGACTTCTAGTTAAAAATTGGGGATTGTAGACCATATGTATGTGAGGTGCAGGATTCATTGTATTCTACTCCTGCCACCTACTAACGTGACAAAAAAAAGCCATGATAACACCTTTGTCCTTTAATCTAGAACCATCATAATTTGAAGTCCATATGGAGCAATGCCCTATATACATTTCTTACTGATTTTTAAAAAGTTTGCAAAAGAGATGCAAGAAAGGTCTTTAATCCCATGGGGTTATATTTTATCTAAACTCATATCAGAAACACCCTAACTCAAATCTGAACCAATGAAAGCAAAATGGCACACCTCATGAAAGAGTCAACAGGAATTATTTTTAAAAAACACTTTTTGGCTGAAGAAAAGATTCTGTTAATAGATCAACAGAAAAGTATACAACCACACAGGGAGGTGGGGAAATGCAGCATAAATTGATATCCCAACTGAACTGAAGCCAAAACAATAAAACAGAAGAAGCAGGATTTACCAAAACTGAAGCCATATGTTGCCATTAGAGCTTTATTGACAATTATAATCCCAACAGATGTTACAACATTGAACATCCATGCGGCTGCATCTGCCGCCTTCTTATCAGCTTTACTTGTGGGAGCCATTTGTTATATATTTCTTTCAACTGGCCACTGTAGAGAGCCTTTACCCCTCAGCCTCCGAAAAGGCATCCATTTACATTCAGATGAAGCCGGAAGTTTCCACTTTAGGAACAAAATACTCTAAAAAGACACAACTGAAACAAATAAGAAAACTGAAATTCCGCAATAAATTAAGACTCTTGGAATTCCAAGTATAATTCAAAACATTCGTGGCAGTAAAAACAATAATAACAAAAATAAAATAAAAACCATAGTTCAATTATAGACATATTTTCTTATTAAAAAAAAATTATAGACATATTTTTCATAAACAACTAAAATAAAAGTCAACATCTTGCTTGTACAGAAACTCCAAAACTGATAAAAAGAGCTTCAGACAAAACTACCAAATTATAAAGAGTCGATCTGAATTAGCTAATATTCTTTCCCATCTTTATAAAAATAATTAAAACTGAAGACACGTACACATAAAGATTAGGAGTCAGCAACTCAAATCACATACTGCTCCCTCCTTGAGCTCAACGTTACCGAGCAGTTAAGCCAATGAATGAAAAACAGAGATGGGTCTTCCTGCATTGGTGCCCGGATTATATAATGAAAGCAAATTCTCTAGTGCATCAACATTTTGCCATTTCCTTCTCAGTTTGTGCAAACTGCTAGAGAGAGAGAGAGAGAGAGAGAGAGAGAGAGAGAGAGAGAGATTCTAAACAGTTTTGACCCACAATTCACTGAATTATGGAACTACCAAAACCCAGCTGCCCATTTCAAAGGAGCAATCTATTTTTTCACCAAGATCAATACAGAAAAAGAAATTGTTAATCAATGACAGACAGACCTGCTAGCATTACAGATCAACCACAAACAAAAAAATCAATCAAATTCAAAGCCGGATCTAACCCACAATCAGATCCCAAAAACCCACCAACAAAATGAGCCCAATTAAGCAGATCTGGTTACAAAAGTCATCCACTTATACGGATCACAGTGACAACTGAACCAGAATCACACATCGAAAAGCAAGTGAGCAATGGTTCTGAAACATAAACGTACCGAAGAAACGAACAGAGAGAGTGAGAGGGAACGAGAGAGAGAGAGAAAGAGAGAGATTCTAGGCTGGGACCTCTGGAATTGCAAATGTTGGGGTTTGATTGGAGAGCGCGACGCGTTTTGATGAGTGTTTGTGATTGGTGCAATTGGGGAGTTTGAAGTTTGATATACGGTTATGGGCTTCGTTCGTTTTTGGTAACCAATTGAGTCCCTCAGATTTGGAGAGAAGGAAGGAGTGTGAGTCCGTTGGGCAATGAAGAGCTCGTGGAGGGGGTAATGTTGCCGCCAGCTAACTGGAACACCAATGTCATGCTTGCTTGTACAAATTACAATTGTGCATCACTTGCTTGCCCTTGGCTTACAAAATTCTAATTCAATTCAATTATACAAATCGAAACCATTTTCACATCTAATTGTGTTTTACAAAATCAATCAACACTGCTCTAAGAAAGTACTAGAATTTCAATAATTTAATTGAGTATTCAAATGACATCGGATTCAATTAATTTTTTTATAGAGATTATATTTGAATGAATATCTATTTAAGGGATCCCAATTTAAACACTCCTGATATATATAAAATATATAACCCCAACAAACCATAGAAACTTAATTTGTACTGAACACGCATTTGTGGTTTTTGATAAACCCTTTGCAACTTTATGAGTCACTAGATGATTTTAAAACCAAAGTATTAACAAACTTATTAAAGGGAAAATTTATAGCAACTCAACTACTGGATGTGAATTGATACTTTTTGACTTGAAAACCTAATCAAATTATGATAAAGTTTCTTAAAATGTTACTATTGTAACAAAAATAGGATGGATGTGAATAGCATTATTAGGAATTATAAAGAATTATGTAGAAATATAATTATCACTGTTGATGATGGTCTTTCGTTAGCTACCAATTAAGACTAAATGACTCCAAGGATTTGGCAAGCAAACCAATCACTAGCACAAAAGAATGATTTAGAGGTCTACTGACAAATGTGTGGTGTGTAACCCTATGTGGCCTTAGTCACGGTGAGTACCAAATTTGAAAAAGTAATATTAAGGGACAAGTGTCAATACAACAATAACGAGGGCATCAATCTCTTTTATAAAGGTCAGAAGGTGCAATAGTTGTGTCATATTTCAATATGGGATAAATGCGCATGGCCTAGATGAGTGAAATATGTTTGTTGTACATACATTTAGTATGAAAGCTTATACCACTCCTATGATGTGTGATGGCTACAAGCAAGGCTTGTCATTGTGCTCGTAATCAATTGGTTAGCATCGACTTTGATCTTGAGCAAGTGTCTAGACCCATTCACGGATGTTTAGGCTTCATTTTAGTTGAATCTAGTTGGTCTTAAGTTAGATCCTAACCAGATTGAGAGCATGTTCGTCGATGGGTTGCGATGACTATCTTTTGTTGGTCTTGATCAATCCAAACCAATGTACACCCAAGATTGGTGTTCTGGATCCTCCTTGAAGTGTAGTGTATTGATGCCGATTTCGTTCATTTGGCATCCAACTCCTTGAAGAATAAGAATAACTCAATAATGGCTTCACAGACATCACTAGACAAATGAAATGGATACTTGTCTAGTGATGTCTGCGAAGCCATTATTGAGAGACTCTTCATCCTTGAAATCTGAGAACCCTAATATTTACACAATGTGAGATTTATAATGTCATACCATCTAAAAAATTTCATCGAATTAAGAATTCAGTCTCATTTTGTCTATCACTTGCAACGTGTAAGACGGTTTAACCATCATGTTTTACTAGTGCCTAACTCTCATAGCCTACATATTAAGATGAGTTATATACCTTTTTTTTTTTCTTACCCTCAGTGTTCACGAATGTTCCTAAAATATTATCACACATATTGTTTTACATTCATTATATCGAAATATCTCAATGTTCTCCAATAAGACAATACAAATAAAATACTTTGTTTTGTCATACTTAAATGTTCATTGGGATGCTTTCTCTTTCTTTGACTTCATGCTCTTTCCCAATGAAAATACTTATGAGCAATATGAGCTTGTGGTATCTAGCTTCGTTTGAGTTGTTCTTTTGTTGGAATTTGGGGGTGTTTATGATATGATTGTTGATTTTTGGTTTGCTAGTTCAAGGTGCTCTAGACGAATGCACAAGGATTTATTTTACGTAAATTCCCAAACACTGTAATATGAGTCCTTAAAGTTGTAAACCTTTGTTTTTATAAGAAAAAGAAACAATTTTACTTGTTCAAGGTCCAACAATACCTTAATAATGTAGTTCTGACCATTTTCACTGTAAATTAGGCTATTACAATATTATGGATTAAAGTGAACTTCAATGTTATAATCACCATGACAACTTTCGTAAATTCGAACACTAATCTTGTAATATACAAGATTACAAGGTTATGGAACGCTTATGTTCCAAGCACTGTAACATGGGTCCTTAATGTTGTAAACTCTTGTTTTTAAAAGAATAAGGAGCAATTTCACTTGTTGAAGGTCTAACAATAACTTAATATTATAATGGTGATCATTTTCATTGTAAATTAGGGTATTACAATATTATGGTTAAGGTGAACCTTAAGGTGGTAGATTTTTTTATTATCAATAATAGTCAAAATTTAACCCCCGAATTCATAAATGTCAGTTTTTATAAAAACTTTCATATATAGCCAAAAACCCACTTAAATAGACCCAAATGTCCTCAGAGTTAAAAGATCAAAAAAACCACCTCAAATATTACAACACACACTAGTGAACGCCAGTGAAGTATAAATTTATTAACCTCGAACTCCAGTGATGAGTGATGTGAGCGAGCCAATGGCACTCCTATATTATTTTTCATCATCTTGGGTTATAAATTTAACAAGATATGTTCATTATTGCGTGCACACAAAATCACAATTTAGTGTACAAGATAGGTAATGATTGATGACTAATTGTTAAAAGTTTTGAGTTTTATGGGGTGGCTTCGATTTGCTTTGACTTTGATATGGGTGGGTGCTTTCCTTGTTTTGACACAATAGTGGTGTAAAAGAAGTGACGAAGGAGCTGAAGATACAAGAAGCAATATACGATAGTGGTGTAAAAGAAGTGACGAAGAAGGAGTTGAAGATACAAGAAGCAATATATGTATACATGTATATGTTGAATAAAGATGAATAATAGATTAGATCAAGGAAAATTGAAAATCATTAATTTTCTTTTTCTCTCAAAAACCCAAGAAGTATCATATTCTTTTTGGGTCACAGAAAGCACCCATCTTTCCTTTGAAACACAAACCACATCATCCACAAACTAAAAAGTACAAACCTCACCAACGCACTATTTTTTTTTTCAGAATAGCATTTAAGAAAAACAATGCAAACATGACCTAAAAATCTATAAAAAAAGAAATGGTGGTAAATTATAAATGGGAAGTTGAATTATTTAGAAAAGAAGAGAACTTAGATTGCAATTTATAAGAGAGATGGGAGTTGCCAAGTGTTTACTCCATAATCAACCGAGCATATCCAGCCTCAAAACAACTAGCACAAAGACAGACACGCCTTCTCCCTTGCCGAAGGAAGACACTCTTCCGAGGTGCCAAGTACCTGCCGAAACTCCTGACTGCCAAAGCTCACAAACTTCTAAACCTAATTTCCATGACATGTGTCACCACTGCAGCGACTTGCACAAAGTCCCACATCGGAAATCTACACCAACCTCCCACTTTCACTTCCCTATAAAAAGGGCATAATACCCTAGTAAAAAGGGTAACTACTTTCTTACCTTTTACTATTATTCTGCTAAAGTTACTCCTCTTAGCTGACTTAAGCATCGGAGAGCCTTCGGCCGGCACCACACCGGTGTCTGAAGCTTAACGATTGCTTCTCCTACTTTGTCTTCTGCAGGCTAATCTCTTACAGAAGGTCCTCACTTTCTCCACTGCTGAAGACAAACCCCTTTTTTCTCTAAGTTGACCCTCTCCGAAAAAGAGCATCAACAGTTTGGCGCTGTCTGTGGGAAACGATACTTGAATCCCATTTTTCTCTACCAGCTCAGCTGGCTCCTTCTCCTATCCGGTCTCGTTGCCTCTTCTTCACTCCACACTCAGTTATGCCTACTGAGGATAGCCACGAGACTCAGCACCATAACCCCCCATGAGGGTACCTCCTAGAGGAGACCTTCAGCAGATGCCAATCTCCAGGCAGAACTGGAGAGCCTCCGCGCCAGTGTCACCACGATGTTCGAGAAATATGACCATCTTCATGCTAAGAACGTCGAGCTCGAGCATGACTACCGCACACTGAAGCGTAACTGGGAGATGAATCAGGCCCAAGGCTCCCAACGTAGCCTTACTCGGGAACCTAAGCGTACCCAACCAAACCAGCCGGAGCACTCCCACCACAGTGTCCTAATCCAGCCTAGGCCTAGCAAGGGTAAAGGCCCCCTTCATCCGGAGACGACCAAGTCGCGACTCCTCCGCATCTCCCCGCCGAGGAACCGGCCCCATGAACCAACAAAGGTCTGCAAGGATTGCAGGGACCGTATCCTGGACCGTCAGACGGAACCCCGTATTATCCCCGTTAATCTCCAAGACCCAAAGGTGACACACCTAGGCCCCCCACCAAAGCCTACCAACTACCCCTAGAGAAGGTATAGGGGACTCGGAGAACTGGGGGCAGGATTACTTAGAAGACTATGAGTCTTATCACACCGAGGCGTTCGAAGAAATTTATCCAGCCCATGGCCACCTACACACCGAGACTCTCCCTCATACCGACCCGGCAATGAGGCTTCTCTTTGAGAAAGTCCAGCGCTTGGAGAGCGAGCAGTAGCGCAACTACCAACCCCTCTGGGCAAAGCCATGACGTGGGCCCTTTACCGAATGCATCCTTAATTACCACCAGGAGAAGGACATCCAGCCACTCCGCATCGCCTTCTACACTGGCATGGAGGATCCTCTCACCTACATACATTCTTTCCAATCTGCCCTGGGGTGCAAGGGCCTCACTGACGAAGGCATGTGCCTCATTTTCCCTTTCACTCTCAGTGGAGCGGCCCTGAATTGGTTTTACAGGCTGAACCCCCGCACCATCAACACATTTGACAGTCTGAAGCAGGCCTTCCTGGACCATTTCATGATCCAGACTGATCGTCTCTACTCCATGGATGACCTATACATGCTTAGACAGGGTGAGGATGAGCCCCTTCGGGAGTATGCAGCCAGATTCAGCCACGAATACTCCCGTTGCCCAGATACTGATGATTGTGTCACCTTTGGTGCTTTCAAGAGTGGTCTTCGAGAGTCAAACTTCCGATACCTGGTGCATAGTAACCCTTGGAACACATATGCTGAGCTAATAAAGCAGGCAGAAGTTCACGCGAAGGCTGAGTACTTCAACTCCAAGCGCAGCCCAGCTGCCCCGGCGTATAATCCTTTTGCTGATCCTCCACCTGCTTCAATACCCATCCTAGCTCCATCTCAACATTCTATCCCCACACCAAGCACCCAGGGTGCCCAACACCCCAAGAGGAAGGATAGCTACTAGCATACCTTCAGTAATAACAAGCGGGGCAGACATGGCAACCACCACCAGTCTAGTGGAAGCAACCCCCCCAAGACAAATAACCGGGCCCCATTCCTATTCTCACCCAAACCCAGGTTCGAGGTCTTCACCACCCTAAACACTACTTATGAGAATGTCTTGGTGCACGAGGCACCTATCATACCTCAGCCTCCACCCCCGAAAACCAGGCAGCAAGCCAGTGCCTAACACAGGTGTCTTCTGTCGCTTTCATCAGTTCGGTGGCCACGATACCGAATCTTGTGTTGCCTTGCGCAACATCATTGAGGGACTTATTCTTGAGGGGAAGCTGGATAAATACGTGCATAACCTCCCACCCCCATCTAACCCTCACTAACGGCAGATCAACATGATCTCAACCATCAGTGGTGGCCCTACCATGGTTGGAACCTCTAACAACTCCATCAAACATTATGTCCGCTCCACCTATGCGCACCAGGTCTTCAACACTAAGCAGGGACGCTTGCTGAAGACACAAAAAACAGGCTGGGCCCTCATTACCTTCTGCGAGGAGGAGGAGCGTGGCGTTATCCTCCCTCATGATGACCCAATCATTATCCGCGTCGACATCTCTAATTTTGATGTTGGGCGCATCTTGTTAGACACTGGCAGCTCGGTCAGTGTGATGTTTGCTGATGCTTTCAACGAGCTCCAGGTCCCGTCTCATTTGCTCGATCGAAGCGTCACACCCCTAGTGAGCTTTTCAGGCGATGTGGTCCAGCCTATTGGGAGCATTCATCTCCCTATCTCTATCGAAGCAGCACCCCAGCGGACGACGGTCACCACTCCTTTCCTCATTATTGATTGCTCCATAGCCTACAACATCATCCTTGGGCGCTCAGCCATGGCCCAGATGAAGGTTTTCATTTCGACACATATGTTACTGTTGAAATTTCCTACGCCCCATGGAACTGGCATGGTGCGCGGCGACCAACTTGGCGCTTGAAGCTGCTATGCTTTGACAGTGAAGTCTACTAATTGCCAACATAGGGGTGAGGCCCTAGCGGTAACCCGGCCCCAGCCCCACCTCGAGCTGGCACTGAGCGCCCAGAAGATCCTAGGGAGGAATCTGCCACCCAACAGGCCGAACCTGTGGAGGACCTCGAACTGGTCACTCTCCATGAGGACATCCTGGATCGACAGGTCAGGATCGTCACTTCCCTCTCACAAGAGCTTCGCTCTGATCTTGTTGCCTTCCTCCGCCTCAACTCCGAGGTCTTTGCTTGGTCTTACAACGATATGCCAGACATATCACCTGACGTCATCTCCCATAGGCTCAGCATTAATCCTGCCGTCCGACCCGTTCGGCAGAAGCGTCGTGCTTATGACCTGGAACAGTATGAGGCCATAAAGGCGGAGATGGATAAGTTGAGCACCATTGGATTCATCAAGAAGGTGGACTATCCCACCTGGCTAGCCAATGTGGTAATGGTACGTAAACCAAGGAAGGGCTGGCGCATGTGCGTAGACTACACAAATCTCAACCGGGCCTGCCCAAAGGATAGTTTCCCCTACCTTGCATTGACCAGCTAGTTGACGCCACAGCTAGCCACGCCCTCCTCAGCTTCATGGATGCTTACTCAGGGTACAACCAGATCGTCATGCACCATGAGGACTAAGCTCATACATCCTTCATCACTGACCGTGGCCTTTACTGCTACAAAGTCATGCCCTTCGGCCTCAAGAACGCCGGGGCTACATATCAGTGTTTGGTGAACAACATTTTCGCTGCACTAATTGGCAACACCATGAAGGTTTATGTTAATGACATGCTGGTCAAGAGTCGCACTGCTGACCAGCACATCCCCAACCTCTCTGCCATGTTCACCATTTTTAAGCAGTATAGGATGCGGCTCAACCCCACCAAGTGTGCATTTGGAGTGGCCTCCAGCAAATTCCTTGGCTTCATGATCAGCCAAAGAGGTATTGAGGCCAACTTAGAGAAGATCCAGGCTATCTTGGACATGACGATACCCAAGACGGTCAAGGACATTCAGAGCCTTACCGGGCGTGTGCAGCCCTGACTAGATTTATCTCTAAGGCCACTGATCGTTGCGCCCCATTCTTCAAGGCACTTAAGGGTAGCAAACGCAGCATTACCTGGACTGCTGAATATGACCAGGCATTCGGCGAGCTCAAGGCATACATGAGCCGAGCCCCTTTATTGTCAACTCCTGAGTCTGGGGACGTCCTCACCATCTACCTCTCTGTCTCGGCCACATCGGTTAGCTCAATGCTCATTCGACCACACGAAGATGCTGAGCATCCGGTGCACTATGTGAGCAAAGGATTGCAAGATGGGTCTGGGGACGTCCTCACCATCTACCTCTCTGTCTCGGCCACATCGGTTAGCTCAATGCTCATTCGACCACACGAAGATGCTGAGCATCCGGTGCACTATGTGAGCAAAGGATTGCAAGATGGGGAGGTTCGGTACCCAGACATTGAGAAACTTGCTTTCGCCCTGGTGGTTTCGGCTAGGCGCCTCAGACCCTACTTCCAAGCTCACACCATCCATGTCTTAACCAACCAACCGCTCCGGTAAGTGTTGCAGAAGCCAGAGACTTCTGGGAGGTTAGTTAAGTGGGCCATTGAATTTGGTGAGTTTGATATCCACTACAAACCCCGTCAAGCCACAAAGGGCCAACCGTGGCTGATTTCATATCTGAATTCACCAAACCCCATACTCTGGCCAGTCATCAGAGCAATCAAGCCTATTCCTACCTCGAACCAGGTCCACGTCGCCAGCAACGGCTCCCTAGCCTTAACTCATCCCTTATGAACCTTATATGTGGATGGCTCTTCCAATGCCTAGGGATGTGGAGCTGGCCCCGTTCTCATCTCCCCAGACAAGGTTGTCCTTGAGTACGCCCTCCGCTTCAAATTCCAAGCCTCCAACAATGAGGCCGAATACAAAGCACTCTTAGCCGGCCTTCAGCTAGCCAAGGAGATGTGCGCCAAGCAAATCCAAATATTCAGCGACTCGCAGCTTGTTGTCCACCAAGTCAACTAGGACTTCACAGCCAAAGACGTCTCCATGACAGCCTACCTCCAACATACCCGCCATCTGCTTACAACTTTCAATGCTTATCTCATAGGCCAGGTGCCACGCTATGAGAACAACCATGCTGATACCTTAGCAAGGCTAGCCTTGGCAGTGGAGCAGGGCATAGGTCACAACATCCACATCGAGTTCTTGGACCACGCCAGCACACGGGCACCACTCATCTGTGTCATCGATCACAGCCCTACATGGATGGACCCTATCACTCAGTTCTTGCAGAACCAGACACTACCTGCTGACCCTGCTGAAGCGCGGCGTGTTCGCTATCGTTCCGCTCGATACTTGATCATCAATGGCGCCCTATACAAGCCCGGCTTCAGCCTCCCATACCTTCGGTGCCTGACTCCAGAGGAAGGTACCTACGTCCTAAGGGAGATTCATGAGGGTATCTATAGCAACTGCTCAGGCGCTCGCTCCCTAGCACACAAGGTCAGTCGGCAGGGATACTTTTGGCCATCACTTCACACTGATGCCCAGACCTTCACTCAGAAGTGCGATAAGTGTCAGCGATTTGCCAACATCCCACAACTTCCAGCTGAGCCATTGACAGCCATGGTCAGTCCTTGGACATTCGCCCAATGGGGACTTGACCTCATTAGACCTATGCCTGAGGGCAAGGGCCAAGTCAAGTATGCAGTTATAGCTGTGGACTACTTCACCAAGTGGGCTAAAGTTGGGGCCTTAGCCACCATCACTGCAGCCCGCATCGAAACTTTTGTTTGGCAAAACATCGTATGTCGCTTCGGCATCCCCAACATCATCGTCACGGACAATGGCCGGCAATTTGACAATGCCAAGTTCAAACAATTTTGTTCCAACCTCAAGATACGTCTTTGCTTCGCCTCCCCAGCCCATCCTCAGTCTAATGGCTAGGTGAAAGCTGTGAACAAGATCATCAAGAAAACTCTAAAAACCAAGCTTGACAAAGCTAAGGGTTGCTGGCCAGAGCTACTATCAGAGGTTCTCTGGTCCTACCGCACCACATTCCGCACTTCAACAGGAGAAACATCGTTCTCCCTTTCCTTTGGTATTGAAGCCGTGGCACCAGTGGAGATTGGCCAGCCCACATACCGAACCTCCACTTATGAGGCCGAAGCTAATGACGAACAGCTAGCCCTGAACCTCGACTTCATTGACGAGCTTCGTGACCAATCCAACATGCACAATGTCGCGTACAAACAGCGCATTGCTAAGTACTACGACTCCCGAGTCAAGCCCCTTGCTTTCAAACTTGGGGATTGGATCATGCACAAGGTTTCCTTAGGCCCTACGTGGGAAGGTCCTTATGAAGTTACCAAAGTCTGCCGACCCGGCGCATATCAACTTCGCGATCCCAAGAGCAAGACCTTGCCACATCCTTGGAACGCTGCTCATCTCAAATACTTCTATAAGTAAACATACTTAGACCCTAGGACATTATGTTTTCTTATACTTTGCTTTTGAGCCATGACTCTGTACCTTCTGCCCTTCGGCACCTACTTAATGAAACGCCTGACTCTAGCTACTTCTCATTAATCACATGATTATTATTTTGCTAGCACAATTGATATCAAATGACAACAAGTCTAATATCATAGCAAATCAAAATAACCTTGCTCCAGGCAAGGCAACATGTTCATACATAACATAAATAAACATCAAGTGTTTTACATAAACAACTACAGTACATAAAGAAGGCCACGCCTTCAAGACTCGGTGGAAGGGGCATCCGTAGTGGCTGACTCTGGCTCTGGCTCTGGCTCTCGAGCAGCATCATTGGTGGGACCAAGTAAAGGGGGCTCGCCACTCGTATCAAAGTTAATCTCCACCGAAGGGTTGAACATCGCCACCCTCTCCTCCCAACGCAGCTGCATCACCACTATCTGATCCATGATGTAGCTCCTCAACTCCTCTGAACTTTGAAATGACTCGATCGCTTCAACTCGGGCAGTAGCTATTTCCTCGACCCTAGACCACTTCAGCTCTTCCATCTCCTTGGCCATCGCCGCTTTATGCAGCACCAAGGTGTTCTTCTCTTGGATGGCCTCCTGCGCCTCCACTATCTTATCCTTGGCCATCTCATTACGCCTTTTTAGCCTCTGGATCTCCTTATCTGCCTTGGCCATATTCACGTACATCTCGCCATAAGCTTGCAACACAAAGCATAATCAATCAAAGGCAAACTAGAATAATAACAAATTCTTATGGCAAGCCAACTTACATAGGCATGGGTAAGGAGCATCTTCTGTCCGAAGCTCAGTCAACTTTACTTCTGTAAGCGTATTCTGCTTCGCTAAAGGGACACCAACCCAGATGTCCACCCCCTCTGAAGCTGAAGCTACGGCTATACCCACAGACCCTGATGGTGATATCTAATTGCTCGAGCCCACCTCTGGTGTATGTGCCAAAGCTAGAACCCGATCAACACTGGCCTCTAACACTTTATACTTCTTCTGCATCTCCCTATATGCCTCTGACCCAGACTCTACTGATGGCCCAGCCATCTCACCCTCATGAACTACTATCCTAGCTTCTATAAGCCCTTCTACCAAACCCTCTGTCTGGGAACTTTTATCTTCATAACAAACATACTCACTGGCCCCTTCACTCTCAGTATCATCCCCACCAAAGGCAAGGGAGTCAGGACCTTCTTTATCAGAACTCTTAGACATCTACAACATGCAGAAACAAGAAAAAGGGAACTAATGCACATGCAAGGAAGATCCAAACACAAGAACACAACATTGGACGACATCTACATGCTTTTTGATCTAGATGCATACATTCAATAAGTTCATCTTAAGGTTCAGGATGTTCAACATATTCATACTCATGTTCAAGGTGTTCATCCTAATCTTCAACATGTTCATACCAAAAGTTGAATTTCAATTTAAAAGGTCAAGGGAAATGAAGTCTAACCTTGTTTGCACCACCACGAATGAGTTGTCGGAAATCACCTTGGCCACAAGCACCACCACCAAAATCTCATCGGAAATCTTTTTCTCCTTCTCACTTTCTGGAAATCTTTCTCAAAAATCTCCAAGTGTGATGCCTACGTCATTCCAAGCTTCTATTTATAAATACCCTAGGGTACACAAGAAACCCTAGCACCCTTTCACCTTCCCTCCCAAATCCTTGTTCCTGCACAACATTTGATATTCAAACTTCAACAACAAAAAAAAAAAATGGAAAAACGGAGGAAGTTGAAGGGACCTTGCCGAATGGCAAGGCCCATGGAAGTGAAAAAGGGAGGCCTCACAACCCAAGCTTGTCCAAAACAAAAATTTGATCAAGGCGCCCGTGCAAAAGGAAAAATGGGAAAGGCTCACAAACCCTCGGGCCCAAACCTACGGGGATGCTTTCACAAGTACAAGGGCTAGGCCCGGAGCCCATCTCCAATATAGAAGCCCAGCCTTCCACCCTTTTTCTTAGGCCCAGCTCCAACTCCTGTGCCCTAGCCCTCAACCCGTGATCTAGCTCTAAAGGGCCCAGCCCAAAAGCCAACACCAAACTTCTCTAGACACCCATCATAACTACAACCAAGCAACAAGAAAAAAAAGAGGGAGGTTCACCAAG